ACGTGACAATTGGGCAATTTGATAATAAAGCTAAATTTGACGCGGTGCGAGGAGGGAAGGACGAAGTTTAAAGTGTTGAAACGTATTAGATGCTAATTATGCCAAATAATGAGTCTGAGTGCTTAAACTTTAGTTTATTTTATGTTTTATAATAATATGTCAAAACTTCTATAAAATAAAGATATGTTGTGAAATGTTTGTTTTAAATTTTATATGTTTTGTGTTACCTATATTTTTAATATGACTTTCCTTAAGGTTTAAATGCAGAAACTAGTGGATTCTTAATGTAGAAGTCCTTGCTAATTAATCCAAATAATGAGTCTGATTATTTAAATTGTTTAACATTTAGTTTATTTTAAGTTAAATGACAATATTAGTAAAAAAAAAGTAGTAATTAAATATGTTTGTATTACTCTGCCCAAAAGGTGATGGACAATATGTATAATGCCCGGTCAATTTGATTATTTGAATAATTTTTATCAAATTGCACACTCATATTGGGCATTTTACATAATGACCGGGCATTATGTATAATGCCCGATTTATCACTTGGTCCATAACATATACACAGGTAAAAAATAACAGACCATTTTAAAGACATTTTGTACAATAGATCCAATTAAAATGTATATAAAAAATGTTTTATTTGATATTAATCTAATAAAATTGAAAAAAAAATTATATCATACTCACATATAATTTTTAGAAAATTTTTCTATAAGGGGTAGGGTTTTTTATGAGGAATAGGTCTTCCATAAGTGTTTTTTGGGTGGTTAAAAAGTTGCAATATATCATAGATCATTTTTTGAAAACCAATAAAAGTTTATAATTCACATATGCATAAAATTAAAAAATTTCAAGCTTTCAATAATATTTTTTGTTTATTTTATTATAAGGGATGGTTTTTAAGGGTTGCAACTTAGTCGTAAGCCATCTAATGAATAACAAAAGAAATGCAATACAATGCACCAAAAGAATATTTTAAACTGTTAAAAACTTTGTTTTCTATTTTTTTGGCCATGGAAGGGTAGTTTTTAAGGATTTTTAAAGGTTGAAAAGTAATTAAATTTCATGAATTATATTAAAAAACATGAAAGGAACTTTATCCAACATATTTGAACATGTATTGAATCTTTAAAATACGTAAATCTGCAATTTTCGCATTTTTTTCGTACAAGGGTAGTTTTCACCCCCAAATAGAAGGAAGCACACATCTAGACAATATAACTTTTGAAGTGGGGGGTCAGATGAGCTTTTATGCAAATTTTCAGGAAAATACATGCTATCCAAAAAAATTCCGAGCTTTTAGCTTATTTTCGCCTTCAGTGACTGGACTATTAATGAAGTTTTCCCAAATCGATGGATAGGAAGAAGGGAGCCGCTTGTATGGCCACCACACTCCCCTGACTAGATTTCTTTTTGTGGGGTTATCTAAAAAGCAGTGTAAGTGAACAGACCAGACACTATCGAAGGATTGAAAAATCGTATCAGAGAAGAAGTTCGGAACATAACACCAAATGTTAACCGTTAACGATTTTTTTAAATTTCAACTGGAAAAAAATATATGAATTTTGTTCCACCATCTTGCGACATACTATACAGCGTGGTAAAAAAGTTCTGCATAAAGTTCATATTTTCGTTAAACAATTTTTTTTTCGAAAAACGGTGAGACCCGTCGATTTTTATTTGATCCAGGGCACCTTGTTATGTGGAAAAATTTTTTTTTCGATAATCCACTTACGGCAGCGATGACATAATTTTTTTTTAAATGACAACGCATATTTTTTTCGTTCGAAATTGATGACAGTGATAATTATCTAAACAACGGTGTGAAAATTTCGATGTCTTACATAACAATTTTTTTTAGAAAAATGCACCTTAAGTTCTTGAATGCAATAATTTGCTGTTTACGGATCAAATGCCTTAGAAAAAAATTTATTCGGCAGAAAGCATTTCAGATAACTTAAGTTGCAACTGGTGTTATGTAATATTTGCGGAATTATTCATCAGATATTGTCAGGATCCTGATTAAACTGCAAAATTTAGAACCAAGTTCAACCGCACAAAATCCAAATAGTATGTAGCAAATTAAGGTCGACTTTTTGTCTTCGAGTTTGCCGATAAATTCCTAAAAAAAAAAGATCCAAAGAAATGTTTACTTGAAAGGAGTAGATTACCTGAAATATTGAAGACTAAAAATCAGTACCGATTTAACATTCTTTGGTGAAATCGTTTAATTCGAAATGGCAAAACTTAGTGAACGCGAAAGAATTGATATTTTGAGGATGATTGGTTTCGGCGATAAGTTACGAACCCATCAAGAAGCTTGCCAATTATTTAATGCAACGTACCCTGACAGACCACCAATTACGCAATCTACGGTTAGTAGGGTACTGGCAAGGTTTGAGGAAACTGGTAGTGTGAAAGATGCTCCTCGTGCGGGTCGTCCTAGAGTAGATGATGAAACTAGATTGAATATCCTGGTGGAGCTCCAGGACAACCCTCATTCTAGTACAAGGTCGATTGCATTGAACAATGATATTTCACATGTAACTGTGGTGAACTTTCTCAAAAAAGAGAAATTTCACCCCTATAAGGGTCACTTGATACATGCATTGACTGAGGACGACCCAGACCGCCGTCTCCACTTTTGTGAAGATTTAATGCATCGATGTAACGGAGACCCCGACTTCCTCAAGAACATAATTTTTTCTGACGAGGCTACTTTTTATCTTAATGGATCGGTGCATCGACATAACTGCCGGTATTGGTCTCAGGAAAACCCGCACTGGGTGCAAGAAGTAGATCATCAGCACCCCCGAAAGGTGAACGTTTGGGCGGGAATAATAGGGCGTCGTATTTTAGGCCCGTATTTTTTCGAGGAAAATTTAACTGCTGCTCGCTATTTGGATTTCCTGCGGTTCGATTTGGTCCCAAGCTTAGCAGAGTTATTCCCGAACAACGAGGATCCTGATATTCCTGAGGAAAGAATTTGGTTTCAGCAGGATGGTGCACCGCCCCATTATGGAGTGCAAGTACGGGAGTACTTGAATAACACGTTTACTGGCCGGTGGATCGGGCGACGCGGAACAATCGAGTGGCCTCCGCGTTCGCCTGATTTAACACCTCTAGACTTTTTTTTGTGGGGCTATTTGAAATCGCGTGTGTACACAAACAGACCAGGTGATTTGGAAGAACTTAAAAACCGTATTCGTTTTGAAATAAATCAAATCGACCCGGGAATGCTTGAACGAAGTGTAGAGGGCGTTTACACAGGCTTAGGACAATGCCAAATGGTACAGGGTGGGCAATTCGAATAATTTCGCTAGAGTTACGCAAACATTAGTGTAATTTTACTCGTTTGAAATGTAATTTTGTCAACTTTGTCCTTTTCGTAGCCATTAATAGTGTAAGTAGACAATTATCACTTATAAGAACTTAAATTTTTCTAAAAAAAATTGTTATGTAAGACATCGAATATTTCACACCGTTGTTTAGATAATTATCGCTGTCATCAGTTTCGACCGAAAAAAATATGTGTTGTCATTTAAAAAAAAAATTATATCATCGCTGCCGTAAGTGAATTATCGAAAAACAAATTTTTTTCACATAACAACGTGCCCTGGATCAAATAAAAATCGACGGGTCTCACCGTTTTTCGAAAAAAAAACTGTTTAACGAAAATATGAATTTTATGCAGAACTTTTTTACCGCGCTGTATAATCCACAACCGTGTAACGTTCAGGAAATGGAAAAATACGCTTACTTTCCTTATTCTGAACGTGTTGTCAGCTTTTGTAAACTGGAGAAAACTTGTATAACCGGTACAGTCAAGAGATACCTACCTATTGTTTCTAACTTGCTTAGGTTTTTTAAAACCCTCGTCAAAAGGATGCTATAAATTTCATCCGACAACATCGTACTTCAGTATTTTTTGCAGAGCAGTCGCTGTCTTATCAGAACGTTTATCCACCCTGTAAACGACACACTGATATGTTCGAAAGTGTAGAAAAATCATACCAGATAACGTTAACATTGCCACTAGATTACAAGATTCGAGTTGATCGCTTGCCGTTCTAAAAACTCATAAATACAGTGAACAGCTCCACGCTTTTTATCTGTAGCAGGTGCTTCAAAGAAATGATCTGATAAGTTAAAACCAACATCAATAGTCGGAATTTTAAAGATAATTATTTGCCAAATGGTAGGTTAAAAATACAACAAACTATTACGTTTTATTTGATACCGGATACGTTACTAATTAGTTAGTTTCTTCGTTAATTATTTTTGTTTTTGTAAGAAATAGTGGAGTGTGTATTGCAACGTTACATAAGGTAAGATTAGAATTGTTTGGTTATGGTTTACGACATCACTTCGATCAATTTGTTTACTTAGACATTTCCCGAAAATAAAAGTTATATAAAGAACTGTTTATTTGAGAAAAATAACTCAGAACTACACGTTACACATTACAAAGCGTTATTTTTTTAACAAACTAATTCATTTCTATGTAACTTACGTTGGAAGTGTTGTTGGTTGCATACAACTGATTACTGTAGAATTTCTCTCAATTATATGTTTTATATTTCGTTTAATAAAAACATACCTACATGATGATGTGTACATCAATTACTTGATTATGCAGTCTTTGAACTCTATTAAAATATGTTATATAACATAAGAATGAATAAATATTACGATATGGACTAAAAAAGTGACTCTTGACTGTTTTTCTGCAACGTTTACAATTTATTTTACTGTGGGATTAAAAAAAATGACGATTAAATAATTGTTTTATCGGAATATAGAAGATTGGAATATATAAAATTAGTATAAACCTGAACGAATATATTTCTGGAATTTGATTTTATTAGAACAAAAGTTGATATAGCAACTAAGTACCTATATTTTTTTTGCAACATGCTCAAAGTGGCAACTTTTTTGGACACCACAGTGTCATAGAAACAGAAGAAATCTCTGTAAAAAATATTGGCAAAAGAAAACATGCCTAGGCGAGTGTATTTTTACATCCTCGTAGTTAGTTTAATTTTTTAATTTGACCGTATGGAAAATAATAATTAAACCCATAAAAATTATAGTTTTTCTTTTCTCGCATTTCTAAATTAATCGGGGATTGTTTTAAAAATAGCCCTAAAAAAATACCTAAGAAAAAGTTGTGTATGGAATGCAACAAATGATTCCTATCAGACAATAAAGTAATTAGAAATACACACAAAACAAATTTATTTCTCCAGACATGTTTGAGAATATTCAATCTATACTCGCATAACCTTGTACTTTGAAAAGGAATATTACTGACACTTATTCTACAGGGTGATTCACAAACGGTGACCTAAAATGAAACTTCGAATCCGAAAATATCATGATTGTTACCGTACTATTTTATTTAGAAAGATATGCCACCTATACCCTGTATCTTCGTCATTGGAGCTTCTAAATTTCAGGAAAAGGCCTCAGATTTCGAACAATGTTTACGTACATGCATGTGCCAATTTAAAAACATTTTTTTTAATGTTTAACACCCTGTATCTTTTAACGAAGCGTCCTAAATAAAAACTATACTCCCCTTAAAATTCATCAAAGAATAGGAGGTTTCATTTTTGGTCACCTTTCGTGAATCACCCTGTATTATCATATCTGTAAATATTTATGACGTAGCAACTATCGTTATGATAAACATAATTTATTATTTATATATTGAAATTGATTGGTTTTGTTAAGAGTATGGAGAATTTTGAACATTTTGTAGAATTTAATGCGTTTTGCTCTAAATTTTCAACGGTTGGAACCTTTTTTAATAGTTTAAAGATTGTATAAAGATGAAAAGTATTATAGAATACGTACAGCACTTCAGTTTACTGTGTAGAATATACAGGGTGTCCGCGTTTTTTGTAGCAGGACTTTCACAACTTGTACTAAAAGTTCTTTAAAAAAAAAGTTCATGTAAACATATATGTATAGATACGTCGTTTTCGATTTACAGAGTGTTCAAGTTTAAAATAAGAATTGATTTTTTATTCGTAAACCGAAAACCCCTTTTTGACTTTGTTGAAACTTGGCAACTTTGTTTGTAATAATAATACTCATTTTCTCACATAATTTAATTTGACCTATTTTCTCCAGTGGCGTCACAACAAGATACCAGCTTGATAAAAATAGAAAAAAATATTGTACGCCACTGCTTTTTGGTAAGTTTGAAATTTTTCTCAGATTTAGCTATCAAAAACACAACTTTTTTTGTTATTTAATTTTTTTCCTATCTCGCTTTGTTTAGTTAGAAATAAAACATTTTCATGAACAGGTTCGAGATTTGCTTAATTTATTTATTTACTTGTTACAAAGTGTGCCGTGAATATGTCTGTTTTTGAGTTGCCAAGGATTTTTTGTTGGGACCTTACATCCTGTCCGATATATTAAGCGGTCAATTATTTCTTGAATTTTTAACTACCCAGCATGATAACATGCTAGACGATGTTCCTTTTCAACAAAGAATAGACTCGTTTTTTCAATTAGATGGATGCCCTTCCCAGTACTCTTTAGCGGTACGAATCTGGCTGAATACAGAGTATCCACAGAGATGGGTGGATCGTGGTGGTCCAGTTGGGTGGCCTCCGCGATCGCCTGATCTAACACCTTTGGATTTTTTTGTTTGGGGATTTATTAAGGATGCAGTTTACTCTACGCCTGTTAACTCGCAAGAGGAACTTGTACGACGAATCCGGAACCCTGCTCTCAGAATAACTCCACATCATTTGAGAGACGTTAGGCGGTCTTTGATACGTCGCTGTGATTTGTGTGTAGATCGAAATGGCGGGCATTTCGAACAGCTCCTTTGAGGTCTATTTATACAATAAGTTGTTTTTCCATAACGTGTTGTTTATTTTTTTTATTATCTTACAATAAACTGTGTGAAATAAAAAGTTTTATTTCTGTCTAAACAAAGCGAGATAGGAAAAAAGTAAATAACAAAAAAGTTGTATTTTTGATTACTAAATCTGAGAAAAATTTCAAACTTACCGAAAAGCAGTGGCGTACCATATTTTTTCTATTTTTATCAAGCTGGTATCTTGTTGTGACGCCACTGGAGAAAATAGGACAAATTAAATTACGTGAGAAAATGAGTATCATTATTACAAACAAAGTTGCCAAGTTTCAACAAAATCTAAAAAGGGGTTTTCGTTTTACGAATAAAAAATCAATTCTCATTTTAAACTTGAACACTCTGTAAATCGAAAACGACGCATCTATACATATATGTTTACATGAACTTTTTTTTAAAGGACTTTTAGTACAAGTTGTGAAAGTCCTGCTATAAAAAACGCGGACACCCTGTATAACTATTAGGTTTTTTTTTAATAGAAAACTTATTGAGAACCACTGACTTCACCATGAGATTTACGGCTACCATAGATCAATTACGTAGTGTTGAAGCTATTACACAGAATTCTTAGTACATCTTTTTAAACCATACCTATGTGAAAGACTTATGTTAATAAAATTTTGTTATATAATTAGCTTTAGTTTTAAGGGCGCGATATTCTTTAAATAGTGTTTTGCACAAAGCCAAATAATTTCAAACATTTAATAACTGAATCATCTAATGCTTATCAAATAATAGGAATGTTGTCATGCCATCTGGGTATTTTCAAAGACGCCGCAGTAAAACGAATAAACAGGTGCAAAAAACGATCAAACCATCAAGGTTTTTAGGTACTGAAATCTACGAAAAATACTAACTTTTTATATACAACTCCACATGTAAATATTTTTACAACATTTACTTAGTAGCTTAGTCCTACATTATAAAATTGTTTACTTTTATTTATAAGTACGTGAAAATAATTTTTAAAGTGTGGGGTTAGGATAACAGCAAACGCATGTTTTACAAACGCTTTTTTAAGTTATTATTTTATTTGAGTAAATTTAAATAGTAACAATGAATAAACAGAATGTCGAGGATTTTATTTTTGTGCTTACTTTTGTTCCACACGTTTTACTTTTCAAGATTTCAGTACCTAAAACGCCAGAAATTTGAGTATTTCTCGGCCAGGGATAGGACCACCTTTAGTAAGTATTAATTGCATATAAAATAACCTGCGTTTCTATTTGTCTATATATGTATATATCCACAAATCGGTAGTTATTCTCCGCGTGACGTCATAACATGACTGCGTATGTGCGCAATGTCGTATATTTTAGTCTCTGTATCGCGCTTAAAATACAGAAACAGAATTGTTTACATAAATATATATTTATTTTATTTATCTACAAATTCATTGTTTTATTTATAATTTTTCTGATATGTGCATTTAAAATTTTGTTCGACATTTTGTTTTTGTTAAAAGAAGAACATGGTAGGTAAAAACAACAAATCGACACATGTGGCAACAAGTTAAAATATAAAATTATTTTTTTTAGGAAGAATCCTCGAGCAGGTCAATTTTTAATTTAAAAAATACATATTTTAGCATAAAAGGCGATTTTCAACCGTCATTTGTTTTCGAGTAACGACGTCATCGACATTTTTTTTTTAAATAGCAACCCCCTATTTTTTTCTTGATTCTGAAAGATCGTTTCATTGTCGATCCGACAGTATTAAAATGTTGTCATCTTACATTGGAAAGTTTTCGAGTAAATGACGATTGAATGTTAGAAAACGTAAATTTTATTCATTAAAAAAATAACAGTTCCCATGTCAAGTTTTTTACCTAAATTAAGTGTTCGTATTGCCACCCACCGACTTCTTGACAATAAGCAAGTCTCTGTAGAAATTCTTCTTGCACATTATGAATTATTTCTGGGGTAACTCTTTCATCTATAATACAATTTTGGAGTTCTTCTAAATTATGTGGTCTATTAACGTAAACTTTGGACTTTAAGTAGCAACATAAGTAATAGTCCAGGGGTGTAAGATCTGTGGATCTCGCGGGCCATTCTATCGGTCCTCGTCTGCCGATCCACCTCCTAGAAAAACAATTGTCCAGAAAATCTCGAACAGGGCGCGCATAGTGCGAAGGTGCACAGTCTTGCTGAAACCATATGGTGTCATCAGGAATATCAGTGCCATTATCGTCAGGAAAAATTACTACAAGCGCTGGAACAAGGTCATTTTGAAAAAACTCTAAATATCTTTCTCCTGTAAGGGTTCCTTCAAAGAAGAAAGGAACTCTCTGCCATCCAATG